CATGTTAAGTGCTCAGTATATATTTTATAGAATAAACACCTGGTGGGTCTTCTGTTGGATAATGAGAAATGTAGAAAAGACTCAGTAGTTAGAAATACTGTTTTGGGATCAGAATATAGGTATTATTTGAAGCTATGGGAGTAGATGAGAGTATAGAATAAAAAGAGGACCAAAGAAATAATCTGTTTTAAGGTATAGATGAAGGAAGAGAGGGCCGTCTAGGAAAACTGAGAGCTGAGGAAGAACAGAGGCCGAGAATACATGAGGTGTGGAAAAATGAACAACCTTGAAAGAGAGGGCTACAAGGTTAGTGGTGTCCTTCAAGGAGAGCAGATTTTAGAGAAGGCTAGGAAATGGGGGAAAAATACTTTCTGGGAAGATATTGAAGCTGTAAAATAGTTTATTTAATTAAAGTGTAGGGAGAATGATGAAGGAGGAACCTCCAGAAGACATAATGGAATGATCAGCAATGAGAGGATGGGTTGATAGGGAGGCAGCTCAGAGCAGTATTGGGATGAGAACATAGGAGGTGGCCAGTGGCTAGAAGGGATTTCCACTATTCCCCATCTCCTACTCCCCATGTAGCATTTCTTTTAATTCTCTTAATTCTCTCTTGGACTTTAAAAAAAAAAATACATACACATACATGATGTTCCTTTAGTTTGGAACACTGTATATCTTGTCCTCCTTGACTCTTTCTAGATTCAGTGACCTTATTTTGTGTTCTATGGCACCCATACCTTGTCTCTCTCTCTTTTTTTTGAGGTATGCCACATACTCTAATATTCACCCTTTTAAACATACTACTTTAAATATACTTTCTCTTTAACTATGTTTAACCACAATTAGTTAATTTTATGTTTTACTATGAATTGGCCACTGGACTGTAAATTTCATGAGGGCAGGTATTATGTTTGTCTCGTTACTATCTTTGGTATCTACCCTAACACCCATACCAAATAGCTAATATTTATTTGATTGCTGTATGCAAATGCTGTTCAACTCATTTATTAACTCATTTATTCCTCATAGGATGTAGGTACTATTTTAGCCCCATTTTTATGGATGGAAGCAACAAAGACTTAAAATAAGTTGGTGTTCAATCAGTATTTGATGAATGAACACATTTATTGAATGTGTACTTTGTGCTGGGCACTGTGCTGTATGTTCAGATTATAGAATTACAAAAGTCTTTGGTGAAGGTTTCAGATAGAATGTTGGTTAAAACTTGGTGACCCTAGGGCCAGCCCGTGGCTCACTTGGGAGAGTGTGGTGCTGATAACACCAAGGCCATGGGTTCGGATCCCTATATATAGGGATGGCCAGTTAGCTCACTTGGGGGAGAGCGTGGTGCTGACAACACCAAGTCAAGGGTTAAGATCCCCTTACCAGTCACCTTTAAAAAATACCCCAGAAAACAAAAAAACTTGGTGACCCTGAGTTGAGGGAAAGACAGCTGGCTCCTGGTTTGTGTGGTACTTGGAATCAAAAGGCTTGATGTCTTCTGACTTTGCTTACATAACTAAATGTGACCCCAGCACAGACTGGAGACATACATTTAAAAACTGTTTTAGCTCTGTTTTTCCTTTCATTTTTGATTTAAAGCCATCCTTCATAATGCCAAATCCTAGCATAAAGTGTAAGGGCTCAGAGCTGCCATGTCTTCCTCGTTTTAATAAGTACCTAAATCTGATTCTTAAGAAAAAATATTTAAACATTTTATTTGGAACTAATTTCAAACTTACTAAAAGGTTGCAAAAATAAAAATATGAGGGTACTTCAAAAAGTTCATGGAAGGATTTGTATTATTTTTTAATTCTATTTTTCCATGAACTTTTTGAACTACTCTCGTACAAGGAACACCCAGATGTCCTTTACCCAAGTTAATCTGTTAACATTTTATTCCATTTGCTTTATTATTTGTGCTCTCTCTTTTTAAAATGATACTGCTTTTTATGAACAACTTGAGAGTAAGTTATATTCATCCTGGCCCTTAGCCCCTAAATACCTCAATGTGTATTTCCTAAGAATAGGAATATTCCCTTACATAATCACATTACACTAGTTATCAATTTCAGCACACTTAACGTTGATACAGTACTTTAATCTACTATTTGTAGATTATGAGCAAAGAAGTAATTTTTTTACAATGCTGCAGCCCCTGAATACTTTAATTAAAAATATTCTGGGGCCGGCCCGGTGGCGCACTGGATAAGTGCGCAGCTTGGGAAGCGCGGTGGCGCTCCCGCCCGAGGGTTCGGATCCCACATACAGACCGGTTCCCGCTCACTGGCTGAGCGAGGCGCGGGAGCAACGCCGAGGTTTGCAATCCCGTTGCTGGTCCCCGGTCCGGTACTGGGGCGACACTGAGGGTTGCGATCCGTTGCCGGACACGGAAAAAAGACAAAAGACAAAAAAAAAAAATATATATTCAATGTTCTTTTTGCCATTTGCAACAACATGGATGAGATTGGAGAAACTTATGTTGAGTGAAATAAGCGAAGTATAGAGGGAAAAATACTGCATGTACTCACTCATAAGTGGGAGTTAAGAGAGAAAGAAGGAAGGAAAGAAAGACCACAGTGGTGCAGAGGGAGAGAGCATACCAAGGGATAAAAAGTGGAGTGGGGGAAAGGGGTAGTGGAAGAGGGAGATAGGGGATTAACTGGATGGGGGACATTGGGTATAATTGCAATTTGTGGTAATGAGCACATTGCCAGTATGGACCTGGCCATCACATCTTGGGCACGAGTGGTGAGTCTGCTTTGTACTCCATGAATCCTGTTCAAGGTAGGTATTTAGCCACTTAAAAAAAAGTGTGGATTGTAGCAATTTCTCCCCCATGCAGTAATTTCAGCAATCTGATATTTCTGTTGTTGTTGTTTCTTAATAACAGCTTTATTGATAAATAATTCATTCAGTAGTTTTTGGTGTATTCAGAGTTGTGCCGTCATTGCCAGAGTCAATTTTGGAACTTGTTCATTACCCTGAAAGAAATCCTGTATACAGTAGCAGTCATTCCCTATTCCCCCTTAATCCCCAGCCCCAGGCAAACGTTGATCTGCTTTATGTCTCTATAGAGTTTCCTATTCTGGATATTGAAATCATATAGTATGTGGTGTTTCATGACTGGCTTCTTTCACTTAGCATAATGTTTTCAGGTTCATCCATGTTGTAGCATATATCAGTACTTCATTCCTTTTTATTGCCAAATAATATTCTATTGTATGGATATATACCACATTTTATTTATCTTTTCATCTGTTCATAGATGTTTGGGTTGTTTCCATTTTTTTGGCTATTAGAAATAATGCCACTATGAACATTCATGTACAATTTTTTGTGTGGATATAGGTTTATTTCTCTTGAGTATGTATGTAGGAATGAAATTGCTGAGTCATATGGTGACTCTACGTATTTAACCTTTGAGGAACTGCCAGACTGTTTTCCAAGCAGCTGCATCATTTTACATTCCCACTAGTGATGTATGAGAATTCCAATTTCTCCACATCCTCACCAACACCTGTTATTATCTGTCTTTTTGATTATAGTCATCCTAGTGGGTATGAAATGGTGTCTTTTGATTTTGATTTGCATTTCCCTGATGGCTGATGATGTTGAACATCTTTTCGTGTGCTTCTTGCCATTTGTATATCTTCTGTTGTTGTGGCTCCTCCCTCCTATGTGGGTCCATGGGAACCCTGTTAGTAGTTTTGCTGGCTTGAGGGCCACCAAGGCCCTCTTCTCCCCTGCGGCCTCCAAGCAACTTCATCTAAAGGGCACAGCTGCAGCTTTTGCCAGCTCCTGCTCATGCGCTCACCAACTCCAGCCTTGAAGCAGCCAAGGCTTGAAATGGTCAGAGTGGTTTTTTCTTTCTCTCATAGTGGTTTCTCCCACCTTCATGCACTCTGTAGGTCTCTCCTCCTCTTCCCCTGATCTTTAGCGGCCCCAGCTTGGCTGTTATTGCTTTTTAATAGTTATAAATTGGTTGGTTTGTGGGAGAGAGTGATGCTGGGGACTATCTATTCTGCCATCTTGACTGGAAGTGCTCGTTTTACCTATTTAATCTATCCTTCTGTATGGGGCTATTGCTGCATTCCTCCTGCTGCTCCCCAGCCCCCACCCAAGTAGAAACCCTTTTCACCCCTATCCGGCTCTGCCTGCTGCATCAAGATGCACACCTCTGAGGAATGTGCCTTCATCTGCTTGGTCTCCAATAGGCAGCGTTATCCTGGCCCTATGCTACTGTGCTTATTTTACTCAGCCTTACTACCATGCCAGGTTGCTCCTGTGTGAGGACTCCCTCCTCTCCCTGCTTGTGCTCTGAGATCCTGTGCTGTGCTGCACCTTCCGGTCTCTCACTCACTCGGGCTCTGGCACCTAGCTCTCAGCCCTCACACCCCTACATTCCCCGGACCCGGACCCTCTTAATAGCTTTTTAACTTGTATATATTTCAGGTATACAAAATGATGTTTTGATTTACTTATCTTGATGTGCATATACGTAATGAAGTGATTACTATAGTAAGCAAATTAGCATAACTGTCATCCCATATAGTTACCTTTTTGGGGCAGGGGATCGTGTTTGTGATAACAGTACCTAAAATCTGCTCTCTTGGCAGATTACCAGTATACAGTACAATATCATTAACTATAGTCCTCATGTTGTACATTAGTCACTTAATGGCTTTTGGACTGAGTTGTTTGGGAAGGGGCTTCACATTGTCTTTTGAGAGACACTGATGTTTTACTCAATTAAAAGTTGGTATTTTATTAGAAGGAAAAAAACTCAGAAAGCTTGAAAATTTTTCTTTTCAGGCGATTGGTAGAGTTCCAAAAGGATTCCTTCTTTGTCTAACATTTAACATAAAATATTACTTAATTTGATTGATAATTATTTGAATCTTAATGGACATTGGTTAATGAGCTGTTCCTGACTGAGGAAATTAGAAAACAAATAAAAATGTACACCCACAAAATAGTATTTATTTCTCTTCTAGCTCTTCCACCAAAGCCACCTAAGCCAATGACTTCAGCAGTTACAAATGGAATGAAGGACAGCTCTGTTACTCTTCAGGATGCAGAATGGTACTGGGGGGATATTTCAAGGTAACCAGAATGCTACTATAATTGAATGTGGGTTTTTTAAAAAATCATTTTTGAGAATTAGTAGTTAAAATAAAACACTTCATTGCCCCACCAGTTGTCATTTAAAGATTATTATTTTAAAAATTGTGTGTGGAACATTTCCAAGTGTCTTAATGCTTTTCTTCCCATGAAAAAGTGACAAGAAAATCTTTAAATTATGGGTGTGATTATTACTTTTAATACAGTATTGAGGATGAATTTCTGAATAAATGAAACATACATTTAAGATAGTTAAAAGTGTTTTAGAATAAAAGATACTTTTAGGTACTTAAATTTCTTTACCTTTCTCTAAGGCAATGGTTCCAAAATCTTTGCATGCACAAAAATCAATTGAGGTGGAGCCCAGTAATCTTCATTCAGTAACTCCCCAGAAGATTTTGATGCAGACTCTTACATACCTTACTTTGAGAAACAGTACTCTAGGACAAATTTGCTTTTAGAATGAAATGTTGTTTTAGATAATTTAAAACCTAGAGAGAGAATGAATATATATATATGTAATATATATATAAATTTGAATATATATATATATTTTTTTTCTCGTTAAATTTTGTTTTAGTGGATCTCAAATGTATTTTCTTTTTTTTTTTTTTTTTTTTTTTTTTCCATGTCCGGCAACGGATCGCAACCCTCGGTGTTGCCCCCGTACCGGACCGGGACCGGCAACGGGATCGCAACCCTCGGTGTTGCCCCCGTACCGGACCGGGACCGGCAACGGGATCGCAACCCTCGGTGTTGCCCCCGTACCGGACCGGGACCGGCAACGGGATCGCAACCCTCGGTGTTGCCCCCGTACCGGACCGGGACCGGCAACGGGATCGCAACCCTCGGTGTTGCCCCCGTACCGGACCGGGACCGGCAACGGGATCGCAACCCTCGGTGTTGCCCCCGTACCGGACCGGGACCGGCAACGGGATCGCAACCCTCGGTGTTGCCCCCGTACCGGACCGGGACCGGCAACGGGATCGCAACCCTCGGTGTTGCCCCCGCGCCTCGCTCAACCAGTGAGCGGGAACCGGTCTGTATGTGGGATCCGAACCCTCGGCGGGAGCGCCTCCGCGCTTCCCCAAGTGGCGCACTAGCGCAGTGCGCCACCGGGCCGGCCCGCGTATTTTCTTTTTTTGAAAAAGCCCTATCCATTTCTGCCAAATCAGGTTCCAGGTTGATGCTGTAGTCCTCTAAACACTTGTCCTTCCCTTTCTCTATTCTCTCCTACTACCAAAATGGCATTCATTTCAATTCTTTTTACCCTTACCATTTTAACCTTTTTTAAGTGTACAGTTCAGTGGCATTAAGTACATTCGCATTGTTGTGCAACCATCACCACCGTTCATCTCCAGAACTTTTTCTATTCCCCAACTGAAATTCTAAACTCATTAAACAATAACTCTTCATTCTCCCCTCCCCCAGCCCCTGGCAAACCACCATTCCACTGTCTGTCTCTATGAATTCAACTACTATAGGTACCTCATTTAAGTGGAATTATATAATATTTGTCCTTTTGTGACTGGATTACTTCACTTATTTCATGTCTTGAATGTTCATTCATGTTGTAGCATGTGTCAGAATTTTATTCCTTTTTATGGCTGAATAATATCCAATTACATGTATATACCTCATTTTTGTTTATTCATTCATCTAGACGTTTGGATTTGATGTACATTTGGATTGTTTTCAGTTTTTGGTTATTGTGAATAATGCTGCTGTGGGCATTGATGTATAAATATCTGTTTGAGTCCCTGCTTTTGATTTTTTTGTATATACTTAGAAATGGAATTTCTGGATCATTTGGTAATTCTGTGTTTAACTTTTTGAAGAGGACTTAATATATTTTATATTGAAATTGACCAGAAAAATTTTATTTTAGTATTGTACAATAAAAGGGTCTATTATATTTAAATGCCATTTAAATTTCCATTTAAGACCTGTGGTTCTACTGTAATTCAGAGATCTTTTATGCTTTACTGTTTCTTTTGAGTGTTCTAGTATTATTCCTTAAAATCCTAAACCAACTCTGTAGAAGGAATTTGTTGTCAATGTAAACTTAACTTAGAGAATATCATATTGAGGGCCGGCCCGGTGGCGCACTGCTACAGTGCGCCGCTTGGGAAGCGCGATGGCGCTCCCGCCGAGGGTTCGGATCCCACATACAGACCGGCCGCTCACTGGCTGAGCAAGGAGCGGGGGCAACGCCGAGGGTTGCGATCCCGCTGCCGGTCCCGGTCCGGTACGGCCGTGACACTGAGGCTTGCGATCCATTGCCGGTCACGAAAAAAAAAAAAAAGAGAATATCATATTGAAATATTGTTAACTTAGTGAATTTACCCCCCTCTGTTCAGAAACAGCTGCCACTGTTGCTTAAATATAATCTCTTTTCTAAACAGCTGCTGGTTTTTCCTGAAACTCTACAAGTTCAGACCTGCCTAAGCAAGCCCTAAAAGCTTAATGGAAACACTGTCCCCTATAGACAGTTGAAATCTGGAAGAGTTTAAAAATAAAATAGCCCTTCCTTAGAGTACATAACAGCAAAAATCAAAACTGAAAGAACATATCTAGTGGGAGGAACTAAATGGCCTCGGAAGTCCTCCATGATTCTATAAGTTTAGATATACCTATCTTCCAACTAGCCTTAGTAATAATAACATGTGAAGACAACCACTGCTTTAGTTTTTTCATTTTTTCCTGTAATTCTTCAGGGAGGAAGTAAATGACAAATTACGGGACATGCCAGATGGTACTTTCTTGGTTCGAGATGCCTCAACAAAAATGCAGGGAGATTATACTTTGACTTTGCGGTAAGTACTTTTTTCAGCCTTTTGGTTAGTGTCCTGCTAGTGTTATTTAGTTCTGTTATTTTAGTTCATTTAAAATAAATTTATTTAAATTTTTATAAACACATTTTTTCATATTTTTATTTAATTTAGGTACATAATTTTCTGTTTGGCTAGCTTTCTTTTTTCTGTACATTAAGTATTTAAACATCTTGTATAAAAATGGCAACTCTTTTTATCTTTATGTAGCAATAAAATGAAAAGACTAAAATCCCCAAATTTAAGGGAGTAAGAAGTATACAGTTGAACTTATGAATGAAGTAGAAGTCATGAGCATAGTCTAAGGTTATTCATGAATACTATCCAGCCAGTAACCCTATTATTTTCCTTAGTGAAGACTTCAAAAAGTAGGATTCAAAATAAAATAATTTTGTCTGATGAGGATAAGTAGAAGATAAAGCAGTTCTCAGCCTGTATTATGTTTTCCATGTGGGCATATTAGAATCTTTTAAGTGGGGGATGTATGACTTTTTATATTTACAAAGATGGAGCATATATTTCTTAAAAAGATTAAGAAAAACTGCATTAGATATTTCTACATTTAATTTTAATGGTTATAATAACCCAATTACGATTAAGTCTTATGATTTTTTAATAAGGGACTGTCCAATGAAAAGAAAACGATAACCACAGCAACAATAACTACTAACTTCCTTGTTCTAAGCACCTTACATGCAATATATCATCTGTTCTTTACAACAACCTTATGAGGTAGGTGTTGTTACTATTACCATTTTATAGGTGAAGCAACTGAGGCTTTACGTAGTTAGGAACTTGCCTAAAGACATGTAGCTAGAAAGTGGCAGAGGAAGGGTTCAAATTCAGATTTATCTGGCTCTTTGCTGCCTTTCCAGCCTAGTATCATTAGGAAAAATAATGCCATATTTTATTCCAGAAATTTGGAGGCACTATATTAGTTTCTGGTAAAGATATTAAGAAGTTAATACCTTAGCATTTACTTGAATTGTGCTGAGGAATAATCAGTATTCTACAGTGGTTCACTGAACACAGTTTTATTCCCACTCCAGTCAGACTTCGGTCTCTACCACTCTACAGGGACTGCTAAACCAATGGCCACTTCTCTCTTCTTACTTTTCCTGGCCTCTTAGCAGCATTAGTCACAGACACTTCTTCCTAGAAACAGTTTGTTGTCTCGGCTATTATGACATCACACTTTCCTGACTTTTTTCCTAACTCTAGGCTACTCCTTTGCTCAATATCTAAATGTTAAATGTTCCAGGGCTCAGACTTGGGCCTTTCTTTTTTCCTTTGTATTCATTCTCCCAAGGTGAGTTTGTCCTGTCCCATGACTTTAACATACAGCTATGATTTGTGATGATGCATAAACCTCATCTCAACTCTAACCTCAGAATGCTAGAGGCACATATCCAGTTGTTTACTTGACCTTGCCAATTATATAATTAAGGGATATACTAATTTTAACTTGGTCAAACAGAATTCTTGATTTCTAATCTTACTCCCCATACCCAGTCTGTTCTAGTAGTTCCCTTTTTTCAGAAATAGTACTCTATAGTTATTCAAACCACAAATCATTTTTTCCTTTCTTTCCCTCACTTGCATTCCATCAGGAAGCAAGTCCTGCTAACTCTTCTCCAAATCTATGTTTGGAATCTCCTCACGTTTCTTTCTGTAATTCTTTACCATCCAAATATAAGCCAACCATCATCTTGCCTGATCTTTTGCAATCACCTCCTAAAAGGCCTCCCAGCATCTTCCAACTTAGATCTTGCCCACTCCTATTCATCATTTTCTGCACAGCAGTCAGAGTGATCATTTTAAGATATGAGTCTGATTACTCTTTTGCTTAAAACTCTTTAATAAGAGTTTCCTACTGCATTTAATGTAAAGAATTTGAATTTTATTCTAATTTACAAAACTCTGTTTGACCTGGCCTCTACTTTATACCTCATCTCTTGCTTCTTTCTCTCTCTCTGTCTCTCTCTCTATCCACTGCATTCAACCTCATTAGCCTTTCTGTACCTCATATGTATGAAGCGCCTTCCTGCTTTAGGGCCTTTGCAATAGCTGTACCATCTACTGTAATGGTCTTTTTCCTGATCTTTGCATGGTTGGTTCCTTTTTTTTATTCAGATCTCTGCATAAATGTCTCCTCTTCAGGCCTCCCTAACCAGTCAATTTAAAGTAGCCATCCAAGGATATACATTGCTCAGTTTACTTCTCTGTATGGGCTGCTCACTATATTCTTCTCTCACCTAGTCTTTCTCACCCCACTAGAATGTAAGTTCCCTGAGAGTGGGAACTTTGTTTAATCATTGCTTTATCCCCAGTACCTAGATTAGTGCCTGAAAATAGACAGGCAATAGATAATACATGTCTAATAAATATTTATTAAACGGATGAATGTCTTTCTTATTTATCTGGAAAATGGTTTAATTCCACACTTGGGTGCTATTTTACACCTAGATTCCTAATCGCAACTAACTAAAAGCAACAATTTTTGTATTTTATGGATGAGGAAAGGAGCCTGTGAAAGTTATATGTAACTTATCTGAAGTGATAGTACTGCTCAGGAACAAAGGCAAGCAAAGGGTCCCACTCACTGCTTTCTAGTCTAGGGCCATGATGAGAATTCTCATGCTAGAGTCCTACATCTGGAAGGGTTCTTTAATGTTACCTAGTGCAACTGGGTTTCTTCAGATGTAGGAATTGTTTGAATAGCATTTCTCAGAAAGGGCCTAAATGAGAAAAAACACCATACTCAGTTCAGTTTTTCCCACTGTATCCTCACAACACTCTTCTGACACCAGATATGTGGGCATTTCTCCCCACATGCCAAGCAAGCAATCAGTTCTTCAGCAGACACCAGCTGGGTGTCCTCCAATTCCAATTCCGACACTATTTACCTGGAGATAGTGTCAGATCCCACAGGTTGAGGGCTCAGTTCCCAAGACTGTCCTCCACTTCAGATGCCTGTTGCAAGCCCAGACCTCTGAACTTCTGACCGACCAGTTATAAATTGGGGTTCCCACGACCCCCGCCTTGGATTCAGTTAATTTGCTGAGTAGCTCACAGAAGTCAAGGAAACACTTATTTATGTTTACCCATTTAATATAAAGGATATTACAAAGGATACAGATGAAGAGATACATAGGAGAGGTATGAGAGAAGGGGTACAAGGCTTTCATGTTCTCCCTGGGCACACTACCATCCAGGAACCTCCATGTGTTCAGCCATCCAGAAGCTCCCTGATCCCTGTACTCTTGGATTTTTATGGAAACTTCATTATATAGGCATGACTGAAGCGTGGGCAACTGTATAGAAATGTGATTGGACAAAAAGATATGATCTAATACTAATAGACTGAGTAGGTAAACCCAGAAAAATCCATCTGTTCAGATTCTTCTTAGCCTCTCTGTGCAGCATTTCTTCCTCTGGGGCAAGGGACCAGACCACTCTTGATATGGGGATCTTATAACCTACAGTCAGACAAGGTATTTCAGAGAATTTAGTGTGGCCAGCTCCAAGACAGAAAGGCAGGAGAAGATTAGAGTCTTGCTTTGGAAAGCTGGGAACTGTGAATAAAAACATATATATATATACACACATAGATATATCTCTCACAGGGCCATTTGATCTTTCAGTCATAGGGAGCTAGCATCTTCCTTTTGAAATAGTTAATTTTATTGTTGAGCAGCTGTAAAGTTTAGAGGATTATCTTTGTGCTGGGTACTGTGCTAGGAGTGGGAATATGGATATGAATACATGGTTATACCCTCAAGAGTTCACAGTCCACGTTTGTAATAGTTGAATAGGAGAGATACACATATGCTATACCTTAATGCAGTGTGCTAAGTGTTATATCAGGGTTCTCCCAATTTCCTCTTCCCCATAAACCCTGGTAACCATTCTTCTACTTTGTTTCTATGAATTTGACTATTCTAAGTACTTCATATAATCAAATCATATATTTATCCTTTTGCATCTAGCTTATTTCATTCAGCATAAGGTCTTCAAGGTTCATCCATGTTGTAGCGTGTGTCAGAATTTCATTCCTTTTAAGGGTGAATAATATTCTATTATATGTATATATTCCATTTTGTTTTTTCATCAGTTGGTAGACATTGGCAAGAATGTTCTAAAGCTTTCATGTATCTAGCACAAGATCTGACATATAGTAGGTGCTCGGTAAATATTTGAATGAAGGACAATAAACGAGAGAAAGATAAAGAGAAGGTTTCTCAGAGGAAGTGACAGTTGAGCTGGTCCTTGATGGCTTTTGCTAGGCAGAAAAGTAATGGTTTTTATTCAATTTAATAAATACTTATCGCTCAGTGCTAGTTACTCTGTAGGGGATCTAACAATGAGTTAAAACTTTTGTCTTAAGGAACACATAGGCTAGTGAGGGAATAAGAAAATTGCTTTGGGGCCGGCCCGGTGGCGCACTGGAGAGTGCGCCGCTTGGGAGTGCGGCGGTACTCCCGCCGAGGGTTCGGGTCCCATGTGGTGACCGGTTCCCGCTCACTGGCTGAGCGCGGTGTGGGCACAACACCGAGGGTTGCGATCCCGTTGCCGGTCCCCGGTACGGGCATGACACCAAGGGTTGCGATCCTGTACCGGTCAGTAAAAAAAAAAAAGACAAAAAGAAAAGAAAAAAAAAAAAGAAAATTGCTTTGAATTAAAGTTAAAATAACAGGAGACGTTCAAACAAAATGCTTTGGGGGCTGAAAGGAGGAAATGAGAGAATATAGAAAATCATTAAAAGAATTACTTTCTGTAATGATGAACATGATAATTATCCTAATTTGATCATCACACATTGTATGCAGGTATTGATATTCAACTCTGTACCCCACAAATATGTTTGATTAGTTATTTTTCAATAAAAAAGCCAAGAGAGAATATAGAAAGCTGACCTTCATAGAAGAAATTACATTTGCAGTCTATCTTAATGAGGGGATAGGTTTGGACATGTAGAAACTGGG